AAGAACACCAAATATAGCAAAACGAGACTAATGCCGAAAAATAAAACCACAGAATAACTTGACTCGCTTGTCCGGAAATGTTACCCTCATTGTTCATTTTTTACGAGAGCCACTCTAGATAGAGGGTTATAGATTAAAAGGTAAGGGTTATGCGGATATGAAGGAAAGATAACGCTTAATCCTAGACATGAACAGGTTAAAAATTGTAGTAATCGGGGAAGCATCCTCTTGGGAGTCGGTTCCACAAAGAGATAAGAAGCACAGTTTATGAGGATATGTGGGGAAGATAACGGTTAACCCTAGACTTGAACAGGTTAAGATTGTAGTGATCGGGGAAGCATCTTCTTGGGAGTCGATTCCACAAAGTAAGAGTTAAGAAGTACAGTTTATTAGGATATGTGGGGAAGATAACGGTTAGCCCTTAGACTTGAACAGGTTAAGATTGTAGTGATCGGGGAAGCATCTAGTTTTGTTTTCGGGGTTAAGGAAAATATCCTCTTGAGAGTCGGTTACAAAGAACAGTGGTTCACGAAATGGAGCCCTTCGAGAGGAACTTACTTATCAGCAATGGTAAACGGAGATAATGAGGGTGGTTGACTCCAGTGAGCGCGACATGACATAACATAGCCGTGAATGTTAGGATTGGTGGAACTAAGAAATGTAGTTCGTCCGAGCACTTTCCGTGAAAATAGCGATAGAACAGTGAGAGGCTTGCGACGTTTCGTCTGTGAGGAAAGGGGTTGCAGGGTGGAATATAATTTGTCACCGAAAAGGACGCGGAAACTCTTTTGGATTCAATCGAAACTGGAAAATGAGCATTTGGGCAGTTCCTGCCCAAATATGACAACAGTATTCCATTCTTGGCCTGTTCTGACTCTTGTAAAGGTAAAGGAGAGAACAAGGGGTCAGGTACTTACTGAAGTGTTTACACGGAACAGACGATTTTACCTGCATCTTTAGCGAGTATGTACGAGTTCAAGTTGAGACTTGGGTTGTGTTTAAGGTCCAATAGTCGCTCAAAGCACGGAACATCAATTCATCTTGACTGGTGATAGTTCACGGTTCTCTCGGCTATGATAGAATGGGTCTAGTTTTGTTTTCGAGGCATAATCGAGGTCCTTATAATAGATGTCTTACTGCATTTTGAGTATTACCGGATAATCTAGGTCCTTATAATTGATGTCTTACTGCATTTTGAGTATTTCCGGATAATCGAGGTCCTTATAATTGATGTCTTGCTGCATTTTGAGTATTTCCGGATAATCGAAGTCCTTATAATTGATGTCTTACTGTATTTTGAGTATTTCAGGATAATCGAAGTCCTTATAATTGATGTCTTATTGCATTTTGAGTATTTCCGGATAATCGAGGTCCTTATAATTGTTGTCTTACTGCATTTTGAGTATTTCCGGATAATCGAAGTCCTTATAATTGATGTCTTACTGCGTTTTGAGTATTTCCGGATAATCGAAGTCCTTATAATTGATGTCTTATTGCATTTTGAGTATTTCCGGATAATCCAGGTCCTTATAATTGATGTCTTACTGCATTTTGAGTATTTCCGGATAATCGAAGTCCTTATAATTGATGTCTTACTGCATTTTGAGTATTTCCGGATAATCGAGGTCCGTATAATTGATGTCTTATTGCATTTTGAGTATTTCTGATCGCTATAACCATTGTGAATCTAACTGCAATTCCAAGACCTTTCATTAATTCTAACTACTAGCCGAAAACTTGCCCTGGGGATTGGGGTCTTAAGCTATTTCCTGCGAAAGGCACAAGTGGGATCAAGTGCCCCATTAAGATTTCACAGATTTGAGCGATGCAATTATCCGCTCAAACGTTATCTGAAAATCATTATCACCATGAACTCCTGGACAACATTAAATATCTGCTGGAGGATTATACAAAAGATTCAAAGGCACGCATTTTGAGTAGGATAGTTTGATTTTTTTTTATTATCCGCAAATAAAATTAATAATGAGTTTGTTCCTCATTGCATTCACCATATATATAACCTTGTAATAATCTAGGCGAAGCTTACTAAATAACAAAAGCACAGCATTCAAGCTTTTATGCAAAAGTTCAATCGAGTCAAAATGGTTATTTCAAAAGTATAATGAGGACTGATGCACAAGATATGAATTGCAGAGATGGCAGGAAGAGAAGATCATGAGAATGAGAAGAGATAAGGGTTGATAAGTGGTCAATATTGAAGTCAGGGAAGAGTTGGTTCCTCAAAGTGGCAGTTTGTTGGTTCCAATCTAGAGTAATGCCTGCTAAGAACATGCCCCTCCCTAAATTTATAGACAACACCAACAAGTGTTTTGTGATTCAACGAACAATCGTTGCCATTTTTGGGATGTCAACGCATACTCGTTGTCACTTTCGTAATGTTCGTTGTAGTAGAGACTTTGTAATCGCAGATAAAACTATAGTAAGGCCGTTGAACAATACTGGTGTCAGACGCCTTCGAATATCATACGCACTAATAGTACTTTCTCGAATAGTACCCGGAATAGTAATCCGTATACTAATCAGTATAGAGAGGAGTGTTACAATATTTTCTACTATGGTCACGTGGTCTACCTAATTCAATAATGGGATCGCCTGTGTTTGCTCGCTGGTGATCTGCGTTCAACCTCAAGTGTCGGCAGCGACATTTTATACTTATATAACAAGGTGCATGCTGGGATTTATTTCTAACCAATAAAAAAAATGGATGATTCTCGGTCTCATCTATATTTTTGTTCTTTCGTGTCTTGAAGACGGAACAATATAGTGATTTTCCAAGCTTAGATGTGGCACAAGGCCGAACGTATAGGGCACCCGATGAAGATTGAACTCACTACACAGTCGTTATTGTTCTGGCGAGACAAGCTTGCTAACCATTACACCGCCTCGAGGTACCTAATGATATTCTAAGCGTAGCTCAGATATGGCATCAAAGCCGAAAGGATGGGGCACCCAGTGAGAATATAACTCACTACTCATTCGTAATTACTCAAGCGAAACAAGCTTGCTAACCATTACACCGCCTCGAGGTACGTAATGATATTCTAAGCGTAGCTCAGATGTGGCACAAGGTCGAATGTATGGGGCCCACAGTGAGAATCGAACTCACTACTCAGTCGTAATTATTCTAGCGAGACAAGCTTGTTAACCATTACACCACTTTGTGAACGTTTTGCTTTATTACTTTTGCTTTTGCTGGCTTACTATTCGTTTGCCCTGTCTCTTATTTTTTTTTTTTGTATTGTTTATTGAGAACTTTCTCAGATCCGCTTGTCGAGAATATTGTCAGTTTCATTTAAAAATACCCACTAAATACACTCTTTGAAAAAAGAAAAAAATCTGACATTTTTTTCTAGGTTTAGAACACGGGGGAAATAAGAGTGCATTGACTCCGTTGAAGTGACATGGCTTGTTGTTATGGTAATTTACCCACACACGTATGGACTCTTCCAGCTATAAATAGGAGCAGGTACTGCCTTTTGGCGAGGTGAAGTTTCCAGCAGTCAGCACTGACAATCGGACTGAACATTCTTGTTGTAACACTTTCGTTTGTATATATTTGTTACTGTTTCTGTTAATATTTTGTTTATCTCAATTCCTCTCTTGTGTTTTTATTTCTGCCTTTAACAAGGCCACAGCACTTTTCCTCGCTGGTTTTGATTGATTGGTTTGTTTTTTACGATTTATCAAACGTTATCAGGTTATTTAAAACCAGGATATCCCTAGGTATGACGATAAACTACACCCGGCAGTAATACCTATGAACGGGAGATTCGAGATTTTAAGGAGCGTGGAACCACCTCTTAACTGCTGTTGTTCCCAGGTTCACCTTGACCCGGGGTAGTAACACTTGTTAGGGTCCCAGCTATGGACAAATGGGACCCCCCCCCCAACGCAAACAAAACACTATGACATTATAAAAAAATACATTTTTATAGTAATTTTTTAAATTACCAACAATACATTTTATAGTAAAATTACCTGCGATAATTTTTATAGCAAAATGACCCAACAATACATTTTATACATCTCTAGTTGAAGGCATACAATTGCGTTCAAAATATGTTTAGTCGAAGCCATAATATTATGTTCAAAGATTTCGGCATTAAATAATCCATAGAGGCTGATATGCCGCTAAAGAAATCGACCAAACAATCAGCATGAAAGAATTATTATATGATATTAATCCATTTAATATCCTACAATTTCTTAAATGAAACTGTGTTCCAAAATATAACTTCAAGAAAACAACCTAAAGCACACATATCATTGCTAGTAATTACGTCCACGCGAACATGCATGTCCACAAAAGCTGAGTATCATCTACCATGTATTCAACTGTGAAAGCAGAATAACATATATCATATTTTCATTACTTCAAAGTTCCCAAGAAAATTAAATTCCGGCATTAAATGATCCATAAAGAAGCTGATATGCCGTTAAACAAACTGATATGTCCCGGAAAGGGATATATTTGTTCGAAGTAGGCAAGTGGTTTTGGACTACTGTAACCGAGTAGAACAATCTAGCAGGTAACTATAATGAACTGGTCCTCGTTGTAGTGGTAGGCAATAGGCGTAGGCAATAGACGAAGACAATAGGCGTAGCCCATGTACCTCCACATCAGTCTGTATTTATGGCTGACACCAGCCAATCATATTACTGTGAGGGGAGACCCACAAACAAATCAAATCAAATCAATCTTACCTGGTTTTTGATTGGTTGATTCGTTTTCTACGGTTTACCAACTCTTTGCAGGTTATTTAAAGCCAGAAAATATTTCAGATGGCAGGAATTCTTGTGTTTTGAGATAATAATGGTTTAGTGATACAAGTATTACTCATTGACCTATAAATGGCGGAAAGAGAAGAGGTGGATTCATGCCTTTCCCAATATATATAACGAACCCTACCGGAATTGGAACTCGGGTCTCCAATTAACGATTCCGAGACATTATTGATTTCTCCACCCGGATATCCAAGCTTACAGAACCTGGTATTCACAAGCGGTCACCCATTTAGGTACTGGCCAGTCTCGACTGTTTAACTTCGGTGATCGTACGGGAACCAATGTTTCAACGTGATACAGCCGAACTCGCTGTCCTAGCTGTAAATGTCTGAATTGATGGCGCTGAAGAATGGGGCATATCTGAAGGTTAGCGATTAGCGATAGACCTACAATGTTGCATATTTGCGGAAAGAGGCCCTTGCAAGGAGAATAATTGCTCGTTCCTACACACACACACACTAAAAGTAAGAAAAAAATTTGGATTCTATCAAATTTGGAAACTTAAAAATAGGATACGTGTAATAAACGAGATGGTATCAAAAACTAATATATCGTATATTTCCGCGTATAAGACGATCTTTAAATCTTTTATATACTACAATTCTAAAAAAGAAACCTTAAATTCTGAGTGATGTTTGTCAGTAGGTTAACCTCAGCCTCGATGCGATAAGCAATAATGTACATGAAAAGATTCATATTAAATAAATAATAAAATAAATTAAATTAACTGATAATAAAAGTAATAAAACAATTTCAACTTTATTTATTACTGGCATAACTTCATAATAAATTTCCCATTTGAAGAATAATTACGTATCAAAGAAATAAACTTGTATCGATACAAGCTCAGCTGAAAAATGTAAACATCAAGATATCATTGCGTTCACAGCAACCTTTATCTTTCGCTAAACATTCAATAATCACCATAGTAGTGTTAATTAGGCCAGAAATAGCATTTAGGATAACATATTAAAAAAATGTTGAACGTTGTATGTACTATTATCGTACATTATCGCACTGTAATTAGCGGTATTTTGTGATTGCCGATGGAGTATAAGTAAATGGCCATTAGTACACCAGGTTGTTTATAATTGTTTAGATTAGTGGTTTTCAACCTTTTTGCTGGAGCGGAACCACAAGGAAACATTCCAGTGTCTCGACACCCCCCTGCAATAAAAAATCATAGCTGAACAATGTAAACATCGAGATATCATTGCGTTCACAGCAACCTTTATTTTTCGCTAAACATTCAGTAATCACCATAGTAGTGTTAATTAGGCCAGAAATAGCATTTAGGATAACATATTAAAAAAATGTTGAACGTTGTATGTACTATTATCGTACATTATCGCACTGTAATTAGCGGTATTTTGTGATTGCCGATGGAGTATAAGTAAATGGCCATTAGTACACCAGGTTGTTTATAACTGTTTAGATTAGTGGTTTTCAACCTTTTGCTGGAGCGGAACCACAAGGAAACATTCCAGTGTCTCGACACCTCCCTGCAATAAAAAATCATAGCTGAACAATGTAAACATCAAGATATCATTGCGTTCACAGCAACCTTTATTTTTCGCTAAACATTCAGTAATCACCATAGTAGTGTTAATTAGGCCAGAAATAGCATTTAGGATAACATATTAAAAAAATGTTGAACGTTGTATGTACTATTATCGTACATTATCGCACTGTAATTAGCGGTATTTTGTGATTGCCGATGGAGTATAAGTAAATGGCCATTAGTACACCAGGTTGTTTATAACTGTTTAGATTAGTGGTTTTCAACCTTTTTGCTGGAGCGGAACCACAAGAAAATATTCCAGTGGCTCGACACACCCCTGCAATAAAAAATCGTAGAAAATCCTAGTACTTGTGTAACTTCTTACGGAACCCCTGGGCTTTACTAGCGGAATTCTAGGGTTCCGCAAATCCCTGGTTGAAAACAACTGGTTTAGATATAGGAAAAGAAGAGAAAGAAGAAGAAGAAATATTCACAAGAGATTACGTGAGAAAATGTAAGCAAAACAAGTTTCCCTTTCAGAAGACGTGTACTGGAAAAAACCTGATATAGAATTGGTTTTGTTATTTCGTTTATATTGAATTTCTAAGGATACAGTAAATAACATTTCCGATAACATCAACTTTATATAATCAAGAAGCAGTCGTCTTATACTACAGATATAGGATAAGTTCATGAAAATTTATTATATATTTTTTACCTCGTCTTATCTAAAGGTGGCCCTAACGCGGAAATATACGCCTAAATATTTGCCTAAATTTGAACATCATCGCTTTCGAAAAAGTCACCTTGCGCAGCAAATACGCCGGTCGCAGTGTTCCTGCCACTTTTGGAATCCGGCCTGTAAGTCGTTTTCCTTACGTGAAACGAGGACCTTCAGCATTTCACTCTGGATCTCGGCAACGATGATAAAACGGCGGCCTCTGAGCTGCCTTTTCAGCTTGGAGAAGAGATATAAGTCCGCAAAATTGAGGAGTTAATGCATATTCATAGGGCAACGCAGAAGTCTATAAATTCCAAGGGTGTAAGACAAACTACAATTACGGGAGAAATTTCTTTCCAGTCAATGACTACTTGTACGAAAATAATAAACTATGGAAGAACTGAAGATAATTATTTAGTAACTATTACAACAAATACAGCAGGAGCGGACTGAATATCGAGAACAGTTGAAGGCAATCCTGGAAAAGCAAGGAATGTTAATTTCGCTTTTGCCCGACTCAGCCGCTAACTCAATTAGTGAATTTTATTCAGAAGAAAATATTAGTGTGACGGTTACACACCTGGCCCAGTGTCGGATCCTTTGGTTACGGCGCCAACGGTGACGTCGCTCCTCCTGGTCGCTCCTCCTGGGTCCAAGCGTGCCGCTCCAACCCTTTGGTCAGATGATCACCAGCCTCGCCTTTCCCGACTCGCTTCCAATACCTGGTCACTAAAGCAACTATACCGATCTCCGGTCTGTCTACCCACGCTGTGTTTAGATCTTAGACAGACGGGACCAGCAGGGATCAGGGGCCGATACAAGTTGAGTCCGACGGGGTGGCAAAACACAAATAAAATAAAAACTCACGACACCAAACAAAATCGCCGATAAAAAAGGGTAACAACCTTTTATATCTTAAAGTCCGTTACATAAAAACAAAATTGTTCTCAATTCCCGACCCGTTCTGTGAACTATGGCACCAAGCTTCTATCACAAAAATAGCAAAAAAAAAATGTCGAACTACCTACTTTCTAGAATCATGTATGTATGTCGGAGTGTGGTTCAGTTCGACACTGGGGCTAATTTCTATCGATCATTCGCAGTTGATTCTTCTCTCCGACTTGAGTTGTATTTCTTCTTCTTCTTCTGTTTAGACTGGTAGATTTCTTGTTTCAACCCAGTGGAAGATTTCTTGCTTCGATTCAGTGGAAGATTTCTTGCTTCGATTCAGTGGAAGATTTCTTGCTTCGATTCAGTGGAAGATTTCTTGTCTTCAACTTGGGCTGGAAGGATTTCTTTTGTTTCGAGGATTCTTCTGTCGTCCGAGGTGAACTGCAACTCACGCCCAACCTAACTCCAACTTCAACTCAACTTCAGCTCCAACTTCAGCTCCAACTTCAGCTCCAACTCTTCTCAGGTTTTCAGGCAATCTTCTTCTTCATCTACTTGGGCTGGAAGTTCTTCTGTCTTCGACTTGGGCTGGAAGTTCTTCTGTCTTCGACTTGGGCTGGAAGTCCTTCTGTCTGAGGGTTCTTTTGCCCGCAAAAGGGGCGAGTGAATCAATCTTATGTCCGCGTTCAGGATCTTCCCCTGCCCGCGGTCCTGCTGCAACTCAGCCCAACTCCGGCTGCATCTCCAACTCAAACTTCTTCTCTTCGGCTTCTGAATTATTGTTCACTCATCTCCGCTGTCAGTGCGCGACTGCAACTTCTCCACTTAGGCCAAACGGACCGGCCTTTCTTGCCCGCAAGGGGAATGAGCCGGGCCCGCAGCCCGCGCTCAAACTCCTTCTTCATCCGAGGCGCAGCTCAACTGATTTCTGCCGACTGGGGTCCTGCTTATATTGACGCCGCAACAAACCGGGGTGGGTCGGTCGGCGTCAGGGGTTTTCTCGATAATTTCAAAAGCCGTATTAATTTTGACTTTCCATTATCGTTATTGTTTTCACCCTACTTTCTCCACAGTGCTCTTGGGGGGCGGCGCATATCTATTTCTCTTAGTCTCTCTCATGTCAGGTGATCGCTCTCAACCAATCGTTCCCGATCGAACCTCTCTTTCTTTCTTTTCCGCAGCCCACGACCGCCTCGTCCAACAGTTATTGATCGAGGTTTTCTTTCCTTCTTCTTCCGCGGTCACGTGATTGTATTCGACCAATTGTTATTGACCGAACACCCTCTCCCTTTTGTTGGCGGGTGTGGTTACATCGTGCTGGTTTTAAAAAACAAAATCCGATTTCGCACCTTTTTTGCACGTACGCAAAATGACAATCCTTGCCCTCTCTCACCTGGACTTTTGTCAAACAGCCCTCTGCTAATTAGTCTTGACTTTTAGAAAGGATCTTTCCGCCTTCCTGGCGCCCTCCGTGGTCCAAAAACAATTGCTCTTCTTTTTACCTCTTTGTTTTTCCTGATAGCCGAGAATCTTAATTATCTAGGTCGAAATATCTCTACTTTCTTAACGTGGGTGTCCAATTCTTAACAGGTCAATTCCGTATATCGTTTTTCACCAGTCACTTCCCCAACCCAAAGACACTTTCTCTCTGACTAAAGTAAAATTCATTTCTATCATTCTAATTTAAAAGTTACCTTTCGTTATTTTGATAAGAATTCTTCTGAAAATGTCGGTCAGCGCTCATGACCGACATCTCAATCTATTCTTTCAACAAAAATTAAGGTCAGTCAGAGGCTCTGACCGACATCTGGTCCACACCCAGCGGCCTGTTTTGATATCATGTCTTTTCCTTTCTTTCCCCCCCTTTTGTTATTATCTTTCCTTTCTTCCTTTTTCCTTTCTTTCTTTTCCTTGCTTTAGGATCGTTTAGTACATTCTTAGTGAATTATTTTCAACCCAGTTATTTTCCGTTTTAAAGAAAAAAAAATTAACAACCTGTTTAATAAACTGAATAAGAAAAAAAATTAACTCATATTTCTATGAATATTTCCAATAAATGCAAGGTGCCATAATCCTCCCTAACCGATTTGTCATTTTACCCGTAAATGACACCTAAACCAATTACATCATTTAACATGCACCATGCATTCGTCTCATGCAATTCTATTCTACTTTCTAACATGCAAGGGTAATGTTCTTTCCATTTTCTTTTTTTGTTCTACATGCAATGAAATGTTCTTTTCATTTTCTTTTGTTCTACATGCAATGAAATGTTCTTTTCATTTTCTTCTGTTCTACATGCAATGAAATGTTCTTTTCATTTTCTTTTGTTCTACATGCAATGTAATGTTCTTTTCATTTTCTTTTTGTTCTACATGCAATGAAATGTTCTTTTCATTTTCTTTTTGTTCTACATGCAATGAAATGTTCTTTCGTTTTCTTTTGATCTACATGCAATGAAATGTTCTTTTCATTTTCTTTTTGTTCTACATGCAATGAAATGTGTGCGTGTGTCTGTAGGTGCAGATGTGTTCTTTAGGGTTTGTTCTTCTTGGTCAATGTTTTCCTCTCTGCTGTGGGAGGTTTTTCCGCCGCACGTGGTGGTCTCACGCCAGCCTCCTCCATTGGTCTTCCAGCAATTTCTTCGCCAGTTCTGTCTGAGTGAGGAACACCGCTCGGCATCTCCCCCTCGAGTTGTTGCATGCTCACCAGACTGTCGTTCGCTAATCTTCTCCTACTCTTAATCTTCCATATTATTACACCCCCGATGGCTATAACTAGGAATGTACCCATTACTATTGACCAATTTATCGCGATCTGCTCATCGTCTTCCCAAGCTACACCTTCGTCTCCCAGCGCACTTAACTTATCTCTTAAGTGATCCATATCGATCTTTTCTATGGGCTTCATTAAAATTGGCATCTTATTTAATGTGACATTAGAGAATCTCTTTACTATCGGCTCCCATAATTCTGTACAATTGACTAAGCCTCTACCAATCATCTCTATGAGTGAATCTTTTTTCTTCATACCTTTCTTCCATCTGGTAATGGGGGGGGCAGGGGATGGACCCCAACCGCCGAACATCCATGGGTAGCGACACCAGGGATAACGGTGGCCTTATTCTTAATGTCCTTGTGGACTCTCCCCACATACCCTAGACAGGCTGATATGTTTCTGTGTGGCTACCGCCCACCCCGTCTGAAACACTGATAGCTTGTGGTAATACCGAGGTTGTTAATACCTCTACTTGGCAGATTCTTTTGATTCCTTCTCCCTCCCTTCAAACAATTCTAGTATGCACAGTTTGCGGTTACTAGTTTTATAGATAGGGCTCAACGAGGTACAGGTCCCCCAGGGTATCATCTCTACATCTTCTAGCTTCTTCAGCTGATAGCAACATGAATTTCGTTCTCCCCGAATTTAATGCTATGTAGTCTGCTTCCACCTTGTACCTAGCTATCATTCCTGAAAGGTAACAAATTCTCTTGTTGTTATTCTTCACAACCACTTAGTCTCGCTCGACTCATCACTCAATCATTTCATAACTTTTTTCTTAGTTCGGCTCTTCCCCTCCTCTAACTAACCCCAGCAGACAGAATGGTCTGGTCAGGTGTGCGTGGCGCCCACTCCAAAGGTCGTACTTCATGACACCACTGGTGATCAATCAACAATGCCAATGATCTTCTTCTGTCCCTTGTGAGGTGCAGCCCATGACTCCATTCCTCCACCACATCTACCATAGTCAGCCAATAGGATTTTGGATGAGCCAGTGTCGTTATCTGTCGACACTAAATGCTTCTATTCTGCACAGCCCTTTTGTTCTACTGAGATTTGGGGTTCTTCTCCCTCCCTGATCTCATCTTCTGAGGTGATTCCTGTTCAACCTCTAACCTTCTTTCTGTGTTTAATTCTCGTCCAGGAGGTTCCTTGTCCTCTTCTTCATCCCTTGATTCTTCTTCCTGTTTAGAGTCTTCGCCTTGAATGTCTTCGATACCTCTCGACTCTATGTGTAAACTTCTCCTGTTCTTTATCCTTTCCCTAAGCTGGGAAGGGGGTATTCGATCCCACTCGCTGGGTCCTTCGTCCTGTTCAGGGTGTCTCTTTTTAGAGCCTTCGACTGCCTGATTGGACCTCTTCGTCTTTTCTTCCTTTCCTTCGGACATGGGGGGTGTGATGGCGATCTCACGGGGTCTTCTCTGCACTGATTCAGTCGACGACTGAACATCGCTAATCCCCGCTGAGGGTTCCAACTCTGTCCTCGGACTGCTTCGTTTATCTGGCCACGT